CATGAGCCAACTTTACCTGGATACAGATTTCCATAAAATTGCTTACTAAAGCTCCAAGTTACAGCATAAATGTTCTCGAAATGTTGGTTACTAGCAGCCTATTAACTAAATTCTTAGAGATAAATATTCTACTCACAAAGTGTAACACAGAATTACCATCTTCTCTTCTAACACAAAGCGCAGGGGAGTGGACGACTGAAATACAGCTTAAATGAAAACAAAGAGACTTAATATTTTACCTCCTATTAGCAGAATTAAGTCTAAGGGTGGCTTAGTCTGTTCATAGAAAGAAAAGCATAAACCATTTCTATGAAATTCAGAAAATCCGACAATGCATTAAATCTGTTGTTGAAGACTTTCATGTCCGGAATCACTGGGTTGCTGTGTGTTTTCTGGGCTGTATGGCCATGTTCCAGAGGCATTCTCTCCTGACATTTCACCTGCATCTATGGCAGGCATTCTCAGAGATCTAAGACCTCACAACCCCTATGGATGCCTGCCATAGATGCAGGTGAGAATGCTTCTGGAACATGGCCATACAGCCCGGAAAACACAGAACAACCCAACGCATTAAATCACTAGCTGCCACAATAAAGAGAATTTCATTAATATGGCTTGCAGATATCTGGGTCATGTCATATGCCATCTCTACATATAGCCTAGTACACCTTGTAGTTTACCAGATAATCTCCGAAAGCGGATACAGTAATGTAAACCCTTTCAAGGAGCACATCATAATACAAATGTTGGCTTGCGATGGATGTACTAACTTGGAAGCCAGCATTGTGGTTTCTGAAAAGCAGCAAGGAGCACAAGTAGAGAACATCGATATAGTCTACTTTGCATACAAATCTACCCTAAGAAAGAGCACAGTTAAAATAAAAACAATGAATCACATGTTTCCCCTTTGTGTCAGTGAAAGAGACTTTTGTTATGTTTCGCATGTCAGAAAGCCAACCAAGCTGAACCCTTTAGTGAAGTCCTTACTCCACATGTCAAGGCAAGTGGGAATTGCATGAGCCAGGCCTTCCATGAACTCAAAAACTCCTCCAAGCTTTCCAATGACTGCCTGACTGTGATACAATCTCAACACTCATTAAAAGACCTGCTAAATGTTACAACTGAATTACCAGCCGACTCAGGCTCCAGCCACCCTTGGTTTCAGGGTGAGGCATTCAAGCGTCCCCTCTTTTTAATTGAGGTACTAGAAAAAGGCAGAGGTCAGTCCCTTATAAGCCTAATAGCCCAATGAATGGGATTACTGCACACTTTAGGAAAAAATAAACTCAGGCTGATGGGCTTTTAATCACTCGGAAACTCAGATAACACACGTGGAGCCAAAGGAATGCCATTTTCCTAACTGCAAGCCAGGGAAGCGACAATTTCTCCCCTGGATCCATCTAGACCAGGCATGGGCAAACTTCGGCCCTTCAGGTGTTTTGGACTTCAACTCCCACCATTCCTAACAGCCTACCGGTGGGAGTTGAAGTCCAAAACACCTGAAGGGCCGAAGTTTGCCCATGCCTGATTTACACTGTAGAATTAATGCAGTTTGACAACACTTGAACAGCTATGGTTCGGTGTTTTGGAATGAAGGGATTCGTAATTTATAGGGCACCAGCATTTTTTGGCAGAGAAGACTACATAATATTACCACTCCCATGATTCCATAACATTGAGCCATGATAGTTCAAAGGGTCAGAAGAATCACACATGGGTTAGAATTAGAGCTGGAAGTCCTACCCTTTTCTGCCATGCAAGAAAATACAATCCAGGTCCTTCAAACAGATGGCCATCCAGCCCCTGCTTCAAGAACCTCCAGAAAAAGGAGACTCTGGCCCCTTCTACACTGCCATATAATTGAGATTATCAAAGCAGATAATCCACATTATCTGCTTTGGACTGGATTGTATGAGTCTACACTGTCATATAATCCATTTCAACACAGATAATCTGGATGCTATATGGCAGTGTAGAAGAGGCCTCCAATTCTGGAATGGGGGTGCCCGTCCTATGACCAGTTTGCCAGATCAACCTCAGGGAGAAAGAGCTAAACCTGAGGATAGGAGGGTCTTGGGCTTGTAAGAAAGCGGAAGACACTCGCCTTCCACTAACCCAGCATTTCTCAACCTGGGGGTGACGAGAGGGGTTCAGAGCGGTCACCAAAGACCATCAGAAAACATGTATTTCTGGTGGTCGTAGGAACCTCTTTGGCAAGGAAGGCTGATAATCTCTCCGCCTGTCCTTCTCTTCTTTTTTGGAAACACTGAATCCTCCCACCAAAATCCCTCCTCTACTGTGACTGGGCGGTCTCTCAGCCAAGGGGAGGGCGGTTTCTGAGACTCCAAGTGGGATAGGGAGAGCAGGAGTGCTTGGCGCATGGGAACTCGGTGTGGGTGAGGGAAAGCGTGCAAGGCTAGAGGGAGGCTCCTGCCAATGAGTCCCTTGAAGGCATGGGGATTCTGTGTGGGAAGTTTGGCTCAATTCTATCATTGGTGGGTTTCAGAATGCTCTTTGATTATAGGTGAACTATAAATCCCAGCAACTACAACTCCCAAATGTCAAGGTCTATTTTCCCCAAACTCCACCAGCGTTCACATTCAGGCATATTGAGTTTTCATGCCAGGTTTGATCCAGATCTATCGTTGTTTGAGTTTAGAGTGTTCTCTGGATGTAAGTGAACTACAACTCCAAAACTCAAGGTCAATACCCATCAAACCCTTCCAGTATTTTCTGTTGGTCATGGGAGTTCTGTGTGCCAAATTTTTTTCAATTCCATCATTGGTGGAATTCAGAATGCTCTCTGATTGTAGGTCAACTATAAACCCCAGCAACTACAACTCCCAAATGACAAAATCAATCCCGCCCCCAACCCCACCAATATTCAAATGTGGGCGTATCAGGTATTTGTGCCAAATTTGGTCCAGTGAATGAAAATACATCCTGCACATTGAATATTTACATTATGATTCATGGCAGTAGCAAAATTACAGTTATGAAGTAGCAACTAAATATGTTTGTGGATCACCACAGCATGAGGAACTGTATTAAGGGGTTGCAGCAATAGGAAGGTGAGCTCCCCTGTCAGCTCCAGCTCCCCATGCAGGGACATGAGAGAAGCCTCCCACAAGGATGATAAAACATCAGAACACCTGGGTGTACCTTGGGCAACGTCCTTGCAGACGGCCAATTCTCTCACACCAGAAGCGACTCGCAGTTTCTCAAGTCGTTCTGACATGAAAAAAAATTAGGAAGATTGGGAACCACTGCACTAATGAGACACTGCAAAAAAAAAAGCAATCTATAGGCTAGTAAACGTAAAGTTTTAAACCTGGTGAACTGTTTCTAAAGTATATTTATAATCATTTTTATGTAATTGTGTATTTTATTGCTGTTTTTACATTGTATTGGCATCCAATTGTTGCCTGCTGGTAGCCACCCTGAGTCCCTCTTCGGAAGTCGAGAATAGGACAGGATATAAATGTTCTGAATAACAACAATAATAATAATAATAATAACAACAACAATAAAGGTTTTCCCCTGACATTAAGTGCAGTCGTGTCTGACTCTGGGAGTTGATACTCATCTCCATTTCTAAGCCAAAGAGCTGGTATTGTCTGTAGACACCTCCAAGGTCTTGTGGCCAGCATGACTGGATGGAACGCCGTTACCTCCCGCCGGAGTAGTACCTATTGATCAACTCACATTTGCATGCTTTCGAACTGCTAGTTTGGCAGAAGCTGGGGCTAACAGCTTGTGCGCCAGCTGCGCCCGTACCTTGGGAAGTCTGACTTGGCCACGGTAGTCCACGCTCTGGTTACATCCCAATTAGACTACTGCAACGCTCTCTAYGTGGGGTTGCCTTTGAAGACGGCTCGGAAGCTYCAAYTRGTCCAACGTTYRGCAGYCATGATWCTAACAGGAGCGGMRCRMAGGGAGCATACAACCCCYCTGTTGCRCCAGCTCCACTGGCTACCAATTTGCTACCRGGCTCAATTCAAAGTGCTGGCGTTGGCCTATAAAGCCCTAAACGGTTCCGGCCCAAGTTACCTATCCGATCGCATCTCTGCCTATGAACCCACTAGGACTTTGAGATCTTCTGGGGAGGCCCTGCTCTCGATCCCGCCTGCAACAGAGGCTCGGTTGGCGGGGACGAGAGACAGGACCTTCTCGGTGGTGGCCCCTCGGCTGTGGAACGCCCTTCCCACGGACATTAGATCGGCTCCATCGCTAATGGTATTTCGGAAAAGTGAAAACCTGGCTATTTGAACAGGCATTTGAATAGGCAGTGCAATGAATATAGGAACGGAACAACGGATGACGAGTTTGGATCATGTTTTCAGTTATGAGACGCCAGTGAATGGTTATTGTCGTTAATTGATTAGTCTGCTATTGTGTTAATTGTTTTTAACATCTTGTTACTGTCGCATTGAATTTTTGCTGCTACTGTTGTTAACCGCTGTGAGTCGCCTAAGGGCTGAGGACAGCGGTATACAAATAAAGTAAATAAATAAATAAAATAATGACAGCAGGAGCTCAACCCCACTCCCCGGATTTGAACCTGCAACCTTTCGGTCAACAAGTTCAGCAGCTCAGCGGTTTAACGCATGTGCCACCGGAGGCCCCAAAATCTATAGGCTGTGAAACAATAATAAAATAATCACAATCGTGAATTGTATTTGTTACCTGCCTGTCTTTTACAGTTGGAGGAGGGACACAACATAGGTAAAGCATACAACTACAACACAACACCATTGCAATAATAGGGAAAACATACAACTACAACACAACACCATTGCAATAATAAATATATTAAAGCACAACAGTTTGCCAGAAGAGAAAGAACTGGGGCAACTTGGGTTTGTGATAAAAAGCATTTTCTACAAACCCAGATCCTGCACAACCTTCCTGGCTGCAACAGAGAAAGCCAATAATTGGTCAAGACAAGGACAGGAAGGGCTTGACTCCACAATGTGCCCACATTGCCCCGCATTACCTACCAGATAATCCATGAACTGGGGGTAGGCGACTGGGATTAGGCGCTAATCGGTCACAAGAGAGGCAAAGATCCGTCTCAAGCAAAGCAAGGAGGAGGAGGTCGAGCCTGGAGGATGATCCAGAGAGCTTGGAGAAGGGAGTCCCGCTGGGTGGAGGGAAAGATGGAGTGATGGGTGGCAGGCAGGCAGGCAGGCAGGCTGGGAGGGAGCCGCCCCCCTGTTGTTCTCCCGAGGATGGAGTTGCTCGGCTGGGGAGATCCCAGGGTCCTTCGACGAGCAACCAACCAAGCCCGCCTCGCTTTGGCTCCCAACCTCCAGCCAGCCAGCCACCCGCTCGGCTCCTCTCCACGCTGCAGCTCCAGGAAGCGGGAGGCGGCGGCAGCCCACCCCAAGCAGCCGGGCAACACAAAAGCCAGCCAAAGGGAAACAACAATAATAATAAACCGCCCCGCTGGTTCAGGAACAGGGAGAGTTTCCCCGGGCGCGTCACTGTCAGCTGACCACGCACGTGAGAAAAGGGGCGGGGCGCGGGCCTTAAAGGAACAAGAGCCCTTCCAGCGGGAGAGGGGGTGCTTCATTCATCATTGGGTCCTTGTAGGTTTTTTCGGGCTATATGGCCATGGTCTAGAAGCATTCTCTCCTGACGATTCGCCTGCATCTATGGCAAGCATCCTCAGAGGTAGTGAGGTCTGTTGGAACTAGGAAAAAGGGTTTATATATCTGTGGAATGACCAGGGTGGGACAAAGGACTCTTGTCTGCTGGAGCTAGGTGTGAAGGTTTCAACTGACCACCTTGATTAGCATTGCATAGCCTGGCAGTGCCTGGAGCAATCTTTTGTTGAGAGGTGATTAGATGTCCCCGTTTGTTTTCTCTCTGTTGTTGTGCTGTTGTAATTTTAGAGTTTTGTAATACTGGAAGCCAGATTTTGTTCATTCTCATGGTTTCCTCTTTTCTGTTGAAATTGTCCACATGGTGGCTGTGCGAGTGGTCCAGCATTTCTGTGTTCTCAAATAATATGCTGTGTCCAGGCTGGTTCATCAGGTGCTCTGCTATGGCTGACTTCTCTGGTTGAAGTAGTCTGCACTGCCTTTCATGTTCCTTGATTGGTGTTTGGGCAATGCTGCATTTGGTGGTCCCTATGTAGACTTGTCCACAGCTGCATGGTATACGGTAGACTCCTGCAGAAGTGAGAGGATCCCTCTTGTCCTTTGTTGGATTTTCTTGGTGGGTCTGTAGATAGTTTGTATGTTGTGTTTCCTCATCAGCTTCCTTATGTGGTCAGTGGTTCCCTTGATGTATGGCAAGAACACTTTTCCTCTGGGTGGGTCTTTGTCTTGACTCTCGTGGCTTGTTCTCGGTCTTGCAGCTCTTCTGATGTCTGAGGTGGAGTATCCATTGGCCTGGAGAGCCCAGTTTAGGTGGTTCAGTTCATCTGGGCTCTCCAGGCCAATGGATACTCCACCTCAGACATCAGAAGAGCTGCAAGACCAAGAACAAGCCATGAGAGTATTTGTCCCTGTTGAACTTCATTTTGTTAGTTTTGGCCCATCTCTCTAATCTGTTAAGATGGTTTTGAATTCTGCTCCTATCTTCTGGAGTATTGGCTAGCCTTCCCAATTTGGTGTCATCTGCAAACTTGATGATCATGCCTTCTAACCCTTCATAAAGATGTTGAACAGGACTGGGCCCAGAACAGAACCCTACAGCATTCCACTCATCACTTCTTTTCAGGATGAAAAGGGAGCATTGGTGAGCATCCTTTGTGTTCACTCTCTTAACCAATTACAGATCCACCTAACCAAGCCCATATCTGACTAGTTTGTTTGCCAGAAGGTAATGGGGGACCTTGTCGAAGGCCTTGCTCAAATCCAGATACGCTAAATCCACAGCATTCCCTGTATCTTTCCAGCTTGTATCTCCATCGAAAAAAGAGATCAGATTAGTCTGATAAATCTGTGGTGACTCTTAGCGATGACCACATTCCTTTCTAAGTGTTTGAAGACCACTCCCTACCGGTAGGCTGTTAGAAATTGTGGGTGTTGAAATCCAAAACACCTGGAGGGCCCAAGTTTGCCCATGCTTGCTGTACACCTTGTAAACATGATCTCATAGTATTGAGCCATAGCAGTTAAAGTGGTGTCTTTATCCAGATGAACCCTAAATGGAATTGATTGCATCAGTCATTCTCAAAATGCATCTGGAAAGAGATACATGTGCCCAGGGAGGAAAGGAGGGTGTCCCTGTGGGCTTCTTTCTCTTCCCAGTCTTGTGTCCCATGAGGAGAAGATGGGATGCAGCTCATCTAGCGAGGTATGACAGCAGAGCTGCTAGAGGACAAGATAAGAGAAAGCCAGTCTACCATTGAATTGCTCCTGAACTGGAAGTGCCCCAAAGCAAAACAGTATAGACAGCAGAGTTAGAGAAGTTATTTTTCTTTTTCTAAAAAAAATATTGAGTATATTCCAATAATTACAATCAGTTAAAAACTTTGGTGGGGTATGTCTAGGGGTAGTAGGTAGAGCTTTGGGTTAGCTCTTGGGAATCTAAATAGAAAAAAAGAGGTAAAGAAAAGGTGGAAGTGGAAGAGAAAGATAAAAGATAAATAAAAAAGAGAAAGAAAGAAAAAAATTAAGACCCTAAGGGGTTTGGGGACATGCAGGGATGGTTAAGGGTAGATAGGGGAAGGAAAGTTACTTTTCCAAAGCAATTTGAGAGGCACTGTAACTACCGTTATTCTATGTTGGTCCTCCCATTACATGCCCAGCTGGTTGTTGTGTTTTCCATTCTTCTGATTCTTGTGGCAAAAAGGTTATAACTTCAAGCCGTTTCCAATCTATGGTGACCCTAAGACAAACCTATCACAATGTTTTCTTGGCAAGATCTGTTCAGAAGAGGTTTGTGCCTTTCCCTTACTCTGAGGCTAAGAGAATATGACTTGCTTAAGGTCACTCAGTGAGTTTCAGTCAAGCAGGAATTCAAACCTTAGTTTCCAGAGTCATAATCCAACACTCAACATGTTGTTTGCACTAGTGAAATAACTTTGCTCTTATTCATTGCATTCCTTTTAAAGTTTGGCATTATGATGCAAGAAGATCAAATCAGTCCATACTCCAGGAAATAATACCTGACTGCTCACTGAAGGCAAGGTTATTAGAGGCAAAGATGAAGTACTTTGGCCACACAATGAGAAGACAGGAAAGTTTGGAGACAATGATGCTGGGGAAAATGGAAGGAAAAAGAAAGAGGGGCCGACCAAGGGCAAGATGGATGGATATTATCCTTGAAGTGACTGGCTTGACTTTGAAGGAACTGGGGGTGACCATGGCCAATAGGGAGTTCTGGAGTGCACTGGTCCATGAGATCACAAAGAGTTGGAAGTGACGGAATGAATAAACGACAACAACAACAAAATTATGACATCCCCCAGAGTTGCAGTTAACTGAATTACTTGTAACTTGTTACTTCCAAGCACTATCACATGAATATCAAGATATATGTAACATTTTTAAAAAAAACTGTTCCTGGTTTGAAAGTGTTGTTTCCTGTTTAGTTATGCAGTTTACTATTATGTTAACTATTTGTACTGTGATTTTTTATTTGTTGGCAAAAAATCGTCCTTCTCAACCTTTTGGGGGTTGAGAAGAATGAGATATAAATGTTCAAAATAAATAAATAAATAAAATTTGAAAGTAGTTGTTATAGTCCAGAAACTTCGTTTTTGTGACTGCCGCAAACTATGTTGAATTGGTTGAGACTCTCTGAGATAAAACTATAGCAAAATATGCTGCAGAATGCTCTGCAAAAACAATTTTTTTTTCAGTTTAATAAACTTTTTATATGTTTTTAGGACAGAACCAATTAGGAAATAACATTCATAACCCAGGAATGAAAATTGTGTTACATAGTGTATCCGCAGTACATTTTCCTTGCAGCAAAACCTTAACTGTAGCAACCTGTAACTCTTTTGTCACCACGGAATGTTGAGTCAACAAGTCCCCTGGAGGAAAGTTGAAATAATCTTGGAAACTTTGTCTGTAAAGGCGTGGCTTTCGCCTTACTTACTAAAGTGTTATACTCCGTAAAGTAAACAAACACGTGTGGGATCTCCCTACAAATAAGCAAAAGAGCTCTGTCTGTTCCAGGCAGATGATACACAGTGTGCAAGTAGTCTGCGTAGGTGTAGTTCTAGCGTCAGTTCTCATCTCTCACACTTAACCAGCAAAAAGTATCACAGCTCTTAGTAGTGAATCAGAACCAAGCACTCTAACACAGATGCAGACATCTCTGACACGGAATAAAACAGACCATCACTTTATTTATTGAAAGGTTTGGCCTGAAGCATGGATCTGTCAATGTGGTGACCTGCCAAAAAACTATCCCCATACCAGATTGAGCACTAAAGGTAAAGTGAGCTGACAGAACAGGGGTTTCACACGGATAAAGGTCACTGCATGGTTCCTTTGTGCTCTGGGATTGAAGTCAGATGCATCACTGAGCTATGTGTATTCTGCAGTGTCTGAACCCAAGGTCCTTAAGGCACATATTTCCCAATTTTATCTGGCTCCTTGCCCAACCCACCTAATGTAAAACTCAGGAAACCAAAGTTTAAACATGGCCATAATATGGGAGCATAAAACTTGAGCATACAGCCCCACCAGATTCAGTTGCTATCCTACAACAAAGGAGAGTGAAGACACCACTTCTGAGGCAGGCAATTTCAAACTTACCCAGTTGACCTTACAGTCCGGTTGGCCTCAAGAATACCATCCCACCAGAAGCACATCAGTCTGCCCTTTGATTAGCTAGCTGTTCCTACCTTTTCCTAGGAGACCACAAAATCATAAAGCTTCATCAGAAACAGAAGTCTCATGAATGATATCATTACTCCCATGTGCGTTTGTCACCCATCATGCAGTTGCAAATGGGGATCCTCAGGTAAGTCTGACTACCTATTGATGTTTGTAGCGCATATAACCATTTTAATTGACATGAGCTTTTTGAACTGTAGCCTATGGATCTGATAAAATGGGCTGCAGTACATAAAACTTGATGCTGAGCCAAACTTGCTATGTCTTTAAGGTGCCACAATTTGCTGTTGTAAATTGATATGGCTGAAACACACAAAGAATAAGGGCGCATTTACACAAACCACTTAAGGCATATCTACACTGACCACACACTGTGGAATGGGCCTGGGTATTATCTGTGGTGGCCACCTTAATGTAAACAGCTGGGCAAGTTCTGAAAAGAAATGGGGTGCAACTGTTTTCAGTACTGGTCTGGAGACACAGTATGACACTTACCTTTCATTGTGTTGTGGTGGTCTCTGGCTGTGACATGGATTCTACCAGTGGGCTGTTGTCTGCAGTGATGTTGGCTGGAATGATGTGATGATCAGGAAAGGGAGGAGAGAAGATGGTTCTCCCTCACCCCAGCCAACATCACTGTAGAAGACAACCTATAGAGGACTGGCAGAACTCATATTGAGGTCAGA